ATTAACACTTCATCTGTACGATATTGCCATCTTCCATATTTTAAAATAAGCAACAGAAATCTTTATGAATTCGCGTGCCAGTGAAAATGAGTAACTAAATTTCTTGACAATAACTTTCTTTTTTTAAAGTGAAAGAATATTTTAAAAGCGCATTAAATAACATAAATTGTACATTCATAGATATGCCTTACTTATTGCGTGCAAAATAAGTCTCCAAAACTAAAGTTACACTCTCTGTTAATGTGATAATTTCATTAAAATACAGGTATTTTGTGTGTTAAAAAGTTAAAGTGGACAATTCGTAGTATGTTTTCTAATTCTTTTTCCTATTTATTTTTCTTTTCTATTGAAATAGAATTAAAATATATTAGGTGTTCTAATCAAGTACTATCAATATTACTTACTCCGTTTTGGTCTTCTTTTATAAACGTATATAAACTCGCTCACACTAACACTCCCAAAAACAAATTATGCAAAATCCAAAACAGCAATATTAGTAATTTTTTTTATATAATTTGGTTCAAATATAAAGTTTTCACGGTATGTTATTCCACTAATCGAATGTATATCTCATTGAAGCTTAAAGAAAGCGTTGTTGCATCTTTTGAAGTTCTAATTAGAAAATAATGAAGGGGGGGGGGGTCAGAAAGACTAAAAATTCAGAAAAACATGCATTTACCCAATTATCATATAAAACCTAAGCGTGCCCCCCTTTTTTTGAAAGAGGGATAGGGCTTCTTTAAGGATGATTCTATTGCCTAAGGCTGAGGCATTCTGTAGGACGTTTTGAGAAGTTTTGTCTGTGTGACTGGCGGCAGATCCCTGCATGAATATGAACTTTCTACATCCTTCAAATACTTCAGAATTAGAGCACCAATTTCATTTGTACTTAATTCTTATATTAAGGTCAATAACTAGTTAATTGACCCATATTAAAAAATGAAATATAGATAAGAAGTTTTATTTGAAGTCAAGGGTTGCAATGCCTGCCCTCATAAAATCCAGTTTGACAAAGGTAAATAAGAATTATCGGCCTTGATAGGCTGCTGCTTATGTGAGAAATGTTTTGCACAATGTATACCACTTACACTTTGTCATTTTAAACGCCAAAGTTTGTGAAGAGATATGAATATTACTTATCTTAGAAAAAATTGTGTATTTCTAGTAATAAAATAATGAAATTTATGTAAAAATGAATAACCTGTTTCACTGGATGGATTTTATAGATCTGAATTTTTCGATGTCGAGTTAAGACCATTAGATCCAAGAGCTAAATAAATCACCAAATCTTTTTTATAGAGTTTTTCACCTCTGACGGTTTAATAGATATGTTTTATACTTTATGTTCCCAGTGTACTATCATGTAAGGTTTGATCGAAATAAACTGAGCTTGAACTTGAGATTTAGATAAAGTATCCAAAGCTGTATTTTCGATTGAAATAATCGGTTTTCTGGTCAGATTAATGCAAAAACCGTTAAATGTTTGAGTAAATTAATTTTATTGATAAAATGCCATACTAATACTCCCTTCATTGATTTCAGTTGTCATGACATTGATCTATTTATTATTTTTATACCATGCCTTGAAAATGAAGAGATTATATGATTGCATGTCAGCAACTCTATTTGCTTGCTAATTCTTTTATATGTGTTTGTTTGCAGAAAAAGACCTCATACGATTTTATTATATTTTTAACAAAAATTAACTTCACACAATAGGTGTATTATAATGCATGTTAGTTTTAACCTTGATCCTAGGTGATATCTTTGTAGCTTTTGAGTAAAAAAATCTGAAAGTCCGCCAGAGAGAATAACAAAAGTTATTTGTTTCAATGAGTGCCATGTCCTGGAAGTCTTGTACATGTTTATCATGAGCCTAGTTGCTACCAGTACTGTTAAGTTAAAATTCTTGATCACACCTCTCTTTGGGGCCACAATAAAAGATGATAGCTTTTTTTTTTGCTTATTTTGAGAAACATTGTAATCCAATGCTATATCCAAAAGGTCAGTGTGATGAAAATATCTTTAAATACTATCGGGGAAAGGAAGAAGTGTTCCACTTATCCATTAGATAACTTTTTCTTTCGATATTTCACGTAGACCAAACTTTTAAAGAAAGTACAGAATTGTCCAAAATTAACAAAATGAATTTATAAAAGATACCCGGTGATTAATTTCTACACAAAATAAAAAATCGATTACCTATTATTCATATGTTCAATTAATGATTGCATATTTATGCAAACAAGAAAAATATTTCGTCACATCGATTGCCGTGGAAAATATGACAGAATTATTTCTGTTTGAAATAAGTGGTGTGTTGCAACCAATCTGTGTAATTATTGTTGAAAAGACCCAAACCTTTAAATCAAAGAATATGTGTGTGGTGTTTGAAAATATCTTTGTGACCAAGTAAATATGTTTCATTTACTGTCAGGGGGTATAACCTACAAAAAAGGAGGGAAAACAAATAAACCCATTAATAAGTTGCTTAACAATTATGAACATATTTGGCATTGATATAAACTAAAAATTCATATACGAAGATAAATGGCCAATCCCATATCGACCGCATGTTAGCTGAATTTGGTCGATATCAGGAACAGAAGCTTCTTTATGTTTTCAATCGCTGCGGCTAGGATCAAATCATATCTATATTTTTATGATGTAGCATCGATCTTTTAAAGATTCATACAACTACCCCTTATTATATGCATGTAAAACCATTGCCTGAAAGAATTTATTCCGGCATTGATAGGCAAGCTTTGTTGAAAAATATTCTTTTTTGTTTTTTACCCATTATATTGATTTGGTTTCGAAACTGAAGTATAGTGGGAAAGCTAAAACCAATCGATAATTTTTCTTTTGCAATAAAAATCAAAAGTACTGATCTAGGACTCCTGAATACTTAATTCTCTTAGATCTCCGTCCTTCAAGTGATTGATTGATGAAACCAAGGATACTTCACAATTTGACAGAACTAAGCTTTGAAGCCATTGTGAATATTTTTTAAAGCATCCTAAAGTATTTATAGCTTTTGTTCTAAGAATTGGTAGAATGTATGAAAGAAAAAAATGTATTCGTTTTACCTATTCAAAAACCAAGAGTTATTTCTGATAATGATTCAGACATAAATTATATATTTCGAAAGCATTCAAAACTTAGAACCTGCTGATCTCTACCGTTATGGATTTTGATATTTCATCATGGAAATTCTTGAAAAAAAATAAAAATATTTAATATTTGAAATGATTTTATACATTAATTTTCGTGCTGATGATTGTCATAAACGATGTATCAGTATATTATTTAAACAACTGTAATAACGGATATCTAAGGTTCAATTCCAGTTTCTCAAATTTATTGTGATTTAAATCCAGGCTTTTTGACATCAAAGACAGCTACTTTTTCAAAAAAACTTGAACCTGTAAATGTACTTACCATGTTATTGGTCATTTGCAAAATTATTTTGTTAAAAAAAACTTTCTGATTGTACACAAAAGTACTCCGAAGTTAATATTTAAAAGATGCTTGAATTTCTGACTGACAATATCTTTGTAGTTTTTGGAGATCAACAATCTGTCGGAATTCCCATTGGTAACCAATTGCACCCCTTTATTAGCAGACCTATTTATATATTCATATGAAGCAGAATTTATTCAAAAACGTTTTGGGATATATCGAATCGACATATGAATGGAAGGAATGATTGTTAATTGACTGATTGATTGATTGTATGCTGTTTTACGTCTCGTTCTAGAATTTTTCACCCATATAGACACGTCCCCATACACCGGTGAAGGGTTTCAAATTTAGACCTTTACCTGGCACTCAAGGCCATAGAGCAGTGAAAGGTTCTTTATCGTGCAAACGCCTATTCTGACAAGGGGCCTCGGTTTTTAAGGTCTCAACCGAAGGACCCGCAACTTTCACTCAAAAGTGCCGAGCGCTTGGCGAAGGAACAGTTGCTACCTATTTTTTGTCGACTTGGGTCAGTCGCGGACTTGATTCGAACATACGACCTTCCGATCAAGAAGCGAGCGCTCTACCGACCGAGCTACCGTGACGGCGATTGTTAATTGATATAACGTCGTTGATATATCTGAATGTTGGATTGAAGGCCATAGGAAGTGTTTTCTTCTTCTCATATAGAATTTTTTGAATCATAGAAATATAAAGACGGGTCGGTTAATGAAGGAACACAATTAGTACCCTTCGAAATTTGTTGGACGACCTGGTCTCCGAAGATTTACATAAATATTATAAAAACTCAAGCATCTTTTTTAATATCAACGTCAGAGTACTTTTGTGTAGAATCAGAGTGGATTTTAACAAGGTAATTTTGTTGATGACCAACCACAAAATACGAAAATTTCCGAGTTCCATTGTTGTTGAAGCAGCAGTTGCCTATGATACCAAAAAGCTTAATTCTTTATTTATCGTGAGAAATAGTTGTATAAAGTGTGGAAAAGTCGTACATTTTGATGTTATTAACTTTAGAAAAAAATGGTGATCCACTAATATTGTAGAGTGATGAAAACTAAAATGAAATATAACTCTTCTGTTTATCATGTCAGTCAACATTCGTAGGAGTGTCTTTGTGCACATATTAGTTGCGAACAAAATTATTTCATCCTTAAAACACAGGCTGCTGTTGCATTAAAATTATCTCACGATTTCTAGCCAATGTTTCAGGAAAATGAAATGTCGATGTTTTCAGAAAAATTAAACTCTAAAATGAAATTAAGTATATAAATTCTTCAACCAACAATAACATGCAAATAAGAAGTTTTGGTATGCAATTAAGAAAAATAAGAAATTTTAAAAGTTATTGTCATTGCCATTGTGATAAATTACAATTTGATTAACAAAAATTGTAAGCTAATAAATATTCTATTACCAAAGGTCAAAATAGAAAATATTCGATTCAGAAGAATAGTTAGGCTCTGTCTTTAAGCTTTACTATAGTAACTAAAATTTGGTACAGGACTTATTTAACAATGGATGGAGCAACATCTAGTGTTAACATTGTATGTAATGTTTGTTTTTTTTTTTATTAATATTACTTTACAAATAAAAGCAAAGGAAGTTCATGCTAAACGTGCAGCCAAATTGATGTAACTTTCTACAAGAGAATCTTACAACTGGCAAATGTTTGTGCAATTGAAGTTGAGTGATAGCAAACACATTAAAGAAAAACAATATTTCATTTTTCTTATTTTATTCAAACATGAATACCAAGAATTAGCAATGCTTATGAACACATTCAACAGATGGATCACCTCTATATAATGAGACCGGGAGTCCTATAGAAATCACATCTTCTGTCTGTCTGTCCGTCGACACTTTTGTTGTGAGGGGATAATTCAAACAATTTTTAACGTATTGTTTTCGAATTTTGTACTTTACTATAAGAGGAAGAACTCTACTATAAGTATAAGAAACCTTATAGACTCTGAGGTCTTGTCTCTATATGTATGTATGTGTAAATGTATATCTATTGACAATTCTCATCGTAACATTTCCAAGTTTTATACAGACTCACTTAACTATAAGAGGAAGACTTCTATATAATTCAGGCTCGTATCCCTTTGTAAATTTGTCTGTATGTAAACCTCAATCTGAATCCATCGATAAAGAATAACTCAAAGAATTAAGAGTCTTCATAGCGTATTTCAAACTTATTCAAACTTATAAAGAAAGAGTATATAAAAGAAAGGATATATATATATATATATAGAGAGAGAGAGAGAGAGAGAGATAGATAGATAGATAAAGCACATTTTACAACAACTCTTAAACTAACATAACTGCCCTAAGTGAAGAAATATTAATATAGAAAGCACAAAGAAATTCACTTTTATAAGGATACCCACTTCCGCCCCAGCCCGGGGTTGAACTCTCGACCTACGGAATCTGTCTCCTAGCAGTACAGGAACAGCGCGCTAGACATCTGGGCAAGTCAAAAAACTTGCTTTCGATTCCGATGGAATTCTCGCAGCGCTGTCCTACACTACAGGGTCATTGAGAATGGAAGTGAGATACAGTTATTTGGACATTAGTTTTATTAGAGGATCGTTACCAATACATGTTGTAATGAAATTAATTTTATTTATAAAGCACATTTTACAACAACTCTTAAACTTACATAACTGCCCTAAGTGAAGAAATATTAATATAGAAAGCATATATATAAATTACCTTGATCAATAAATAAATTTTACTATATATATATCGCAATTATATGAGTAATTGTCACCTTTCTTGTATGCTATATTTTATTGATAACATAACTATACTAAGTACAGTTTCAGTAAAGGTTATCAAAGGAAAAGTTGTCTCTTTCCTTAATTTTGTTTTGTTTTGATTTGTTTTCGTATTTTTGTTTGTTTGGTTGGTTTTTTTTTTTTTTTTTTTTTTTTTTTTTTTTTTTTTTTTTTAACAGTATTGTTTTTAAAGCAAAGATGATAATGATAACTTTTTTAATGGGTATTCTCCTTAACTTGCATGCTGCTGTTTGTTGAAGAAATACTGCTTTAAGTTAATATTTTCTTGTTCATATGTCAAAAACTACAAAAAGTTAGAAGGTTATTCATGTGTTTTTCATTTGCAATTGTTTTTAGAATGTTAGATCTATGTTCTGCAAATTATGTGTTTTATTTCCTGGCTCTTATTTGAGTTAACGTCCTGTGAATTATGAAAGATACGAAAAAAGGGATACTTTATTACTTATTCTAACTGTAAACAGTAAGCAATATCACTGAAACTTTAATTGAAGTCGATACTTATTCTGATGAATAGAATTTTTTGATCAAGATAAGTAATTGATCAAGGTAATTTAAACTAGACCCTGACGGTGGTTTGCAAACATATATGATTGACTTTTCTTCAGCTGAAACACGAACCGTTTATCCCTTTGCACATGATAGCAAACGATTATTAAGCTAAAAGCACGGTTAGATCGATGAAACCTAACAAACAAAATAAGCTACTTATTTTTGCTGTTCACGAAGGATGTATATTTGATGCTTAAGGTAAGGTTCATTTCCTGGGAAAAAATAATTGTTAAAACTCACTTTTGTGGAATTCGATTCTTTGATTTTGCAATGATAGTAATTAACAATAAAAGTTATTCTTTGAATGAAAAATAAACAAAGATGTGAAGTTTTGTCATTTTCCTGTCGTAACATTGACAAAGGTTTATTGTAATGATGTGACTTATTTATCAGCTAGGAATTATTTAACAAGGTCTATCAAAGTAATTATCTGTATTGTAAATGTTTGCAATGATAATATTGTCTTCATTACCGAAGACTATTTGCGCATTGATAATAGCTATGAAATATTCAAAATTTGAGCATGGAGTTCACGTTCAATTACCATTTGTAATGGGTCTATTGCCTATGTTAAATGGCACTTTACACTATAAAAATGGTTTCTGTGTTCACTACCAGCAACATCGATTTTAAAAACTTAAATAAATAGATAAGCGCTTCAATAATTGTCATCATCGACTGAAATTTTTATAACGGTACACATGATTCATTCCAATTTCCGGCAAGTAACATTGCTTACTTTATAAAGTACACTTTATAAGGATGGTTTAGCATATGAGAGAGAAAAAAGGATTCAAAAAGAGTTTTGTCATATTTTTCTTTTGAACAAAACGAGAATGACAGTGGATTTAGTTTAGGTAAGTTCAAATCTTGTTTTGCATTTGTCAAACTTTTTTTGGATGTTTCGAAAGTGTCGATCTTTTAAGAAAAATGCTATGATGTGTATGTTTGCCTTTTTTCTTCTTGTTAAATAACATATTTTTAAACCTGTTTAATTCAATGATTCAATTAATTTATATTATACCAAAAGAGGTTAAGTGATCCATATATCTCGTATTTAAATGAGGCTATGGAATAATTTTCTATGTTTCAAGAAATATGATAATAGAATGATGTTTCAAACCTACCATAGCTGTTCCGGTTACATGTATCTACAAAGATATTTTTACCTGAGATTACGTTTCTGATCTTTAAATAATTTTCTATTTTTGCTGAATGTTTTTCGATCATGATTTTAATGGTGATTGTTCTTTAGGCTCTAAATTACTGTAGATCACAAAATTTCACGACACCTATTATTTTTGCGTGATAGTTATTTGGTATTTTGGGGCAAGACAAAATTTTTACGAATTTTATTATTGTATTTAATCTTTAATAATAAAATATACGCGAGAATAAAATTTTTACGACTAGTCAAAACCACGTAAAAATAAAGTTCTCACGAATAAAAATTAATTTACTGTATGGTAACACTATTATATATTCGCATCATTTCAACATTTTTCCTTTTGTCTTCCTATCATGGTGACATCTATTTTTAGATGTTAATGTCTACCAAATTAGAGTTTTTGTTTAAAGTTAATGTTTCAAATATATTTCTAAGGATGATTTTTATGTTTTTAACCACGACCTCAATGAAAACAGAGTTTAACATTTTGGTAAAATGCTTACATCAAAATCAAATGAACTATTTGGAAATGGTTTGTGATTAACAGTTAATATGTTGCTGGATCAAAGTTATAATACTCCGAATGAATTGTGATTTGACGCCTGAGTTCAAGTTATCTTTGAAATTGAAATGAAAAAAACAACCAAAGCCCTTTACTATGTAGATGTATCAATATCAATGATATTTAAAATGTTATGTTGTTTCTGGACAGAGTTATCCAAGAAAAAAATCACTTGGTTTAAATATTCATAAAATTGTTCTGTGTGATTTAAAATGCATTCATTTTTTCTTATAATTATAGCAATATTGTTCTTTTTTAAAGCTATATATTGCGTATCTGAGCTAAAAAATAAAAATATAAAATTGAGTGTAGATAAACATTATATAAGTAATTTACGTTCAAATTAAAATTTTCACAGACTTCGAACTTGATAACCTCATGTTTTCATACTTAAATTGATTCTAAACTGTGTTTGTTAATTAAATGCAGGGTCGGTAAATAAATTGGTTATTGTTTCCAATATCTTTGAATTGTATAATTTACAGTAAAATCTTATCTTTATATAATGTAATAAAAAAATAGAAAGATCTTTTTAATTTTAATTTGTCTGAACTTATAAAAAATACACCATATATGACTTTAATGCTATATATATATATATATATATATATATATTATATATATATATATATATATATATATATATATATATATATATATATATATATATGCTTGATAAAATCTTTTTCATAAATACCAAGCAGGAATTTTACTGGGCCATTCTACAGCGTATAAGCTTCTAGAAATATACCACTCTATTGTAAAAAAGTATTGATGTGGGTAAATTTTGCTGTATGGTGTAATTGTGATTTATCCAAGACATCTGATAAAGTCAGGCAAAAAGGCCTAATTTACAAACTAAAATTGCATTGAATTAATGGTACATGATATAATATAACATAATATGCTAGATTGGTTTGATAGTTCTTTATGCAACAGAACACAAATTATGTGTAGAATTTTTTTTCCTCTGTAGAACATGTAAAAGCTGGTGTTCCTCAGGGCTCAGTATTCGGTCCATTGTTATTTTTTATTGTATATAAATGATGTGGCTGAAAATATAATATCTATTTGTAGATTATATGCTGATGATAATTCTTTGCAACAATGTTCAGATTAATCTTATTGAGCAAAATCTTTATCATGATCTTTGAATACTATTTAAATGGTGGAAGAAATGGTTGTTGAAATTTAACCCTCAGAAAACCAAAGTTGCATTTTTTCATTTAAAAATGTGCAAAAATTTCTTAATTTCTTAATTTATTATTTTGAGAATTGCCAACTAGAATATGTCACAGAATATAAACATCTTGGAATACTGCTGTCTTCAAACTTAGGATGGTCTGATCACATTGATATCAAAGAAAGCTTACAAAAAAGTTGGGTTACTACAAAAGCTAAATTTTACTGTGTCAAGGTATATTCTATTCCAGATGTATTATATATTTTATTGGGCCACAACTAAAAAATGTTCTTGAAGTTTGGGTTGGATGCACAAAGGCAGACATCGAAAATCTTGAAAAAGGTCAATTATTTCCAGCACGTATAGTTACTGGGCTTACAATTACATGTATTGCTTCGAGAAATTCAATGTATTTTGAAACAGGTTGGAAAACTTTGGAACACAGAAGAAATAGAGCTAAACTAATAACAATGTATAAAATGCACAATAATTTAGTACCTTCTTATATCCAAAATATAGTAACTGATGCAAGAGGCAATATTTGAAGTTACACAACTAGGAATTCTGAGACTATTACTAGAGTATTTGTCAAAATGCAGATTAGAATTATTTAATAATTCATTTATTCCTGATACTTCCAGAAGGTGGAATGCCTTAGTTTTAAAACAAAGAACAAGGGAGGCAATTTCTATCAAAATTTTCAAGAATTGTCTGCACAATATGGTAAAACCTCCAAAATATTTTTCATACGGAAAAAGGTTTTTTTGAATATAATTCACACAAGATTGAGAAACAATTGTATTTTAAACTCTGACTTATCCCGTTGTAATTTAATAGCCAGTCCTAATTGTTCATGTGGTTTATAAAAAGATGCATACCATGTGTTTTTTGCTTGTTAAAAAGTATGCAAATGCAGGACATTCCTTAATAAATAAGCTATTATCATTTAATAATCTGCACGTTATAGATGTACATTTGATGCTATGGAGGATGATTCTTTCACTAATGTACAAAATGCTGAACTTTCCAAGATTATTCATACTTTTCCTCATAAATGTGGTCGTTTTTCATTCAAAAAAAAAGGAAACTTAATCTACAATAAGTAATAAAGCAATTATATATGTTTTAAGATTTCTGGTTCGGAGGTTCTTGAGAAGAAGAGTTTTAGTTTTAAAGAGTTTTTCCTATATATTACCATATTCAAATTTGATCACCTATTGTGACCCCACCCTACAGCTAAGGGTCAAGACTTGAGCAAACTTGAATTTACACTGTGTAATAATGCTTTTACATTTGTTTCAATTTTTCTGGCCTATTGGTTCTAGGGAAGAAGATTTTTTAAAAAATGCCATGAAATTTTCACTAATTTTTTTATTATTTCCCCTTGAAAGAGGTTGTGGCCCTTCCAATTTGAACAATTTTGAATAGTCTTTACCCAAGAATGCTTTGTGGCGAGTTGTATTGCAATTGGACTAATGGTTCTAGACAAAAGAATAAAAATGTGAAGTTACGAAGACAACGGACAAATTTTGATCAGAAAAGCTCGCTTGAGCCTTCGGCTCAGGTGAGCTAAAATGCAATCGAAGAATATTTTGATTTTTTTTTCAGTACCCTGCAACAAAATTTCAAAGAAAGAAGTGGTCATGCATGCCAAACTAGAAAGACACATTTGTTTTAATTACATGACGACACACTTTGCACTGTTTTTGTACCAAGCATTAAAACTTCAAAAGCATCGAATGATTGTTTGAGTACAAAATATGCTTGGTGCTTCAATATTTGCTTTTATATAGGTTCTCTCATCGACAATTTACAGCAATTTATTTTCCCTACATAGCTACTTTTTAGACTGACGTATTTCAGGAAAATCATTAACTTAAAATGGTGGATTGCACATTCCGATAAAACAGGGGCTTTATAACTTCCGGTTTGATGGATAATACTCCTCCAAACAAGCAACATTGGAAATAACCAATCTATAATGCTTGTTTTCAGCGTCATAGTAACTCTTAACATCTAAGGGTCATATCTGTGGGTACATGACATTTTCTTTTAATATGATTATGCCTTTAATTTTTCCATCTGGTTTCGTTATCAGGCATTTTATTAAACAAATTACCAGGAAAATATTTTAAAATCATTTTTTCAATTTACATTCTTCTTCACGCTAAAAAAAATAATTCTTTAACACAGTGAACAATCTATGTTGCGGTTTCAACTGTGTCAAGATATGGATATTCAATATAGAGAGAGATTATGGCATCTTATGTTAGAGGCATCAGCATCAATTCGATTTTCAGTATCAAAGAAAAATATGGGAAATCTATTAAATGCTCGATATCTTTATTGAATATAATAAATAAGTGAGGTATACACAGCTTACAATAAGCATTGAAAAAAAAAATAGATGTTAAATAAAACTAAACAAAGAAAAACCCTCACATTTGAGATGGGTGAAATAAGTGACATATCTAAAGGAATAACAGTACGTTACATTGATAAAAATTAAGAGCTTTTCTTTTAAGGAACACGAAACAATGAGTCGGAGATTTTGAAGTCAGCCATCAACGAAGCTTACGGGATGGACTTTGTAAACGCCAAGCGGGTCCTCAAGACCAAATACAAGCGAAAAAACAAAGATGGGCTTACCCTAGCGGATCGGATCCGGATGAACCGTTACGGAAGCGGAGTAAGTAAATAGTTCATCCATATAACATTGCTCTCGCTTTTCGTTAGGAACTGTGTACATGTTGGCTATATCAAATTTTCGTGTAAGGAAGCCTACCTAGGAACTACCAGTGGTGGAACTGGTGACAGTAAAACTTGGTTATATTCGCTGATTAACTTAATCGTAGATGTATTGGCATAAACACTAACAAGTAATTCTTTCATTTATTTTGTTTTCCTAATTCGCCGTTCCTGTAAAATTTATCTTGAAATCAAGCTCTGGAACCCTTTATCATCTGAGAATCAACTTTAAAAAGTACTTCACCAAAGATGGGCGAACAAGTCGAGCAAATTGCCTCCGGTGCAATAAATACGAAGGTGAAAAATTAAATCTCAATAACAAAAAAAATTGTCTTTGATATTTTATCTAACATTATTGTGTTCTTTATGTAAAATCTCCACAATTTGCAAAAATCTCAGAAAGATTGAAATTATTCGTCTATGAAATAGCACACACATACACGCACCAAAGAGAACAATTTTTTCATACTATAACAATTTTTTCTCTTATAAATGAGTCTTTGTTCCATTTTTTTAAGTTTATCCTCAAAGTATGTGTAAAATAATGCATTTTTGGTTAACAAAAACATGGAGCAAAGACCAACTATACTTTAAAATTACACTTTTATAACATAGCATTTGTATCTTTCCGAGAAATATTTGAAGTCCATTAAGTCTAGGGCCATATCACAAACATGATCTAAATGCCAATATTTGTCAGGAGCGTTGTGGTTTACGTGTTAGCCTCAAAGAAAAAATGATCCTCAGGATTTTTATTGCTTAGGTTCGAAACTCAAGAATACCACATTCTTTCTTTATAAGAGAATATTTTTTCCGAGAAAATTTTCCGCTGAAAAATTTTGTCGTAATTTCTTAAATTTAAATAAGAACTTTACTATCAATACTAAATTCACAAATTGAATATGATTTTTATACATTTGAAGCTATAGGCATTCTGCACGCGTTGTTCTCCCATCTTCTTTATTTAAAATAAATCCAGAATTCCCTATCATATCTTTGTGACATATCTATCATATTGTACTACACATATGCTACAAATCGCCACCCACCCACCCCTCAAAAAATCACACAATTTTATATCTAACAGTTTGTTGAACTACCCATCTGCTTATCCCCCGCCCCAAATCCAACCAAAGGTTATCGGATTAAGTTGATACCTCTGCTAGTAAAGGGCTGAGAAACTATTTTGTGTCCTGTGTTAAATCTCGTAGACATCTGCTTCAGAGAAATTTTTAAAGTCAAAGTGACTAACGTCCCTTAATTTATAACACAGGATTATATTTTAAAAACTACTTTAGAAAATGTATGTGATCATTTTTTTCATAAAATTACTTATGTTGGCCCAAAGGCTCTCACGCCTCTTGCTTAAGAAAATATCTTATTTACATATCAAATAAATATTAGCACTTAAACATTACATTATCAATACATTATAAGACTTTATGTATTGACACAACGTTGAAAGGGAATATTTAATCAAGGAAGGAATGACAATGATTTCACTGTCTGCGTACATACAAAACCAAATTGTTTGTCTGAGACTATAACTTCACTGATAAAATAAAAGTAAACTTGTTTGTTAGTCTACTTCTATATATAACTTCAATGATAGAGTCTATGAAAGTTGAATTGTTTGGTAGTTTATTTCTCTACTTCTGCGTACGTGTAACTTCAATGATAGAATTATGGTGGAATTGGTGTTGGTCTACTTCTGTAATTTTATTGATAGAATTATTTAAAGTTGAATTTTTTGGTAGTCTATTTCACTAAATCTAAAACTTCAGTGATAGAATTGAAGTTCGACTGATTGGTAGTTTATTTCTCTGTCTCTGTAACTACAACGATAGAGTTGTATCTGAATTGCATGGTTGGTAGTCTGTATCTTCAATTATAGAATTATAGTGAATTGTTTGGTAGTCTATTTCTTAACTTCTAAAACTTCAGCAGTAGAATTACATCTGATTTGGTTAGTAGTCTACGTGTGTTACTGATAGAATTATAGTTGAATTAGTTGTAGTGTACTTCGAAAACTTAATTGATTGAATTATATAGATGAATTGGTTGTAGTGTACTTCGGAAACTAGATTGATTGCATTATAGTGAAATTGGATGCGGTGTAGTTTGGAAACTTAATTCATTAAATTATATAATTGAATTGGTTGTAGTGTACTTAGGAAACTTAATTGATTGAATTATATAGATGAAATGGTTGCAGGATAGTTAGGAAATTTAATTGATTGAATTATAGTTGAATTCTTTCGTATTCTATATCTGTAACTTATTTGATAGAATTAAACCCCAATTGATTGTCATCTGTATCTGTAACTTATTTGATAGAATCATAGTTGAATAAGTTGTAGTTTTCTTATACGACTTCAATGATAGAAATATAATTAAATTGGTTGCTAACCTTCTGTAATTTCACTGATAGAAATATAGTTGAATTGGTTGCTAGCCTTCTTCTGAAATTTCACTGATAGAAATATAGTGGAATTGGTTGCTAGCCTTCTTCTGAAATTTCACTGATAGAAATATAGTGGAATTGGTTGCTAGCCTTCTTCTGAAATTTCACTGATAGAAATATAGTGGAATTGGTTGCTAGCCTTCTTCTGAAATTTCACTGATAGAAATATAGTGGAATTGGTTGCTAGCCTTCTTCTGAAATTTCACTGATAGAAATATAGTGGAATTGGTTGCTAGCCTTCTTCTGTAATTTCACTGATAGAAATATAGTGGAATTGGTTCGTTTGCTACCTCTGCACTAACAACATAACTTATGATGAAACTAAGAGTCTTTCATACAAATATCATGGACTATCGGAAGTTATCTTAACTAATGAATAATGTTATTATCAGTACCTCCTACAATAATAAAAAATTGCTAAAAATAAGAATTAGAGTAAAGCAAAATATAATTATTTATCTCTTTGATTTTCAACTACATTGGATTCAGTATATACGCACAATAATAGCATCAGCAGCATAAAAATAAATCTGAAATGAAAAAAAGTATCCCCCAACTGAATAATTAAAACCTTGACTTACCATGAAAAAGGTGAATATGATTAACAGTGATCAATATCAAAAAATCTATAAACAATACAATTCCCCCGGAAATTCCAGAGGTGGGATTAGGTGCCTAGGAGGAGTAAGCATCCCCTGTCCCGCCGTGGGCACACCCGCCGTGAGCCTTATGTATTGATCAGGTAGATGGAACATTCCGTAGTCAAATTCAGTATGAAAACAAAGGCCTAACATTTAGTATAAAACAAGTCAACCAAAATACGATCCATTTATAGGATATATATTTTGTTAACAAGGTCATTCTAACAACCATAGAACTTGCGAAATGCTGACATTAAACAAGGCTGTTGAAATCCCTGTAACATCAACTTATCTGTCAGTAGCCTGCCTCAATTTAAAAATTGATGGTACTCGTAGCAGGCTTTTGAATATCGAATAAGCTGGGAGACGTAAACACAATATTCAGGTGAAAGCAAAATATATCTACATAAATAAGGAAAGTTGACGATGAGAAAGTTGAAGTCATCTCGTTTGTCATACAATTTAGTTGTTAGTGTGCCCTTATCGTCTATAGTCAGTAAAACATCCAAATATGAAACAGATTTGGCAGACTCTGTGGTGTCTTTTATTTCAAGTTTACTGGGATATATCGAGTCGATATATGAATGGAAGTTATATACGTCGTCGATATATCTTAATGTCGAAATGATATAAAAGATAAACTCTTTCATCCCTCTGCTAATTCACAAATACTTAGCATAGTAGTAGTTCTCGGGTAATAAAGGTATTATTTCTTTTTGCACAAAGATAAATTAAGGCAAAATATTTCATAGATTTATTTAAGATTGTCTATGCTCTCATGATAGTATCGAATTCTTGTCACAAAAACTTAACACTATCTCAGTTATATTCTTATAAACAGTCATCATGATTGTATCAGTTCTTGTCATTTATACATGTACTATTAGTCACATTTTTTATAGTGACCGGGTACGGGATGATACCTGCAAGCATGCTATCGAAGTCATCTTATAACTAAGATATATCTTAGGAGATATCCTAGTCCTAAGTCAGGGCATTATAACAATTCTAACTTAAGATTTCTCCTAAAGTTAAGACATTGCAAGACCCTTTATAATATGAACATTGCAGACTCCAAACTGTGCATTTTTTCATTTATTTTAAACTAGAAGTCGGGGGGGGGGGGCGCAAAGTGGCTCTTCTTATTACTTTTTTCTTGAAATTTTTTTTTCAAATTTTTTGTCAACCCCTTCCCTCTCTAAGATAAATATATCGAGTTTGGAATGTTTTCCTTTTTTATGTCTCTGAAGTTAATCAAGATTTTTTTTCAGTTTGTTTGTCAGTAATTATCTGGCTGCTCGACCCCACCCACAACTTTGGAAAAACACAGCTGACTGCTTCGTCTCTACCTATATTTAAATAATTGCTTTGCTGTAATGCGCCATACTATTAGATGTTTATTCTAAGCAATATCTAAATTAATGTTTGGAATTATTGTTCACAATGTCCAGAAGCATTTAAAGTTGCATTTCGGAGATGCTTCTTTGGTGGCTCATTAAATACGCTGAAATCTAAAGCTATACTGGTTATATAGTCAAAGATCACAAGTGAATGAGGATGGTAGTGCTATCAAGTAACGGGTTATTTTAACGGGATACAGTAAATGTGAAACGGTCACCATAAAACGGTTATTCATGTTCGCTGCAGTTTGTATGAAATGGAGAGAGATTTTATACCGCGTCAATAGATATCCTATAGCTTACTAGTGAGGCAGTATTTCCCTTCCTAATTACTGTCCTCTACATTATTCGCCATTTGTTAAAAAGTTGTTAATTATATAAAATTTATTTATCTAATTTGCTGTGCAAGTACATTGAAATGTGAAATGTGAAACTA